CCCTTCCGACCCTTAATCTATGAATCCATGAATCTATGAGGTGGGAGCTGTTTAACCTTTTCTGTTAATGTGCAGAAGTTTCCCCACCACATGAGAATGCTGAGTACGCAATCTTCGTACACTAGCATTTTGGTCCCGACAGTAAACTTTGAGTTGTTCCATGTTGTTTTAGGTAGCCTGCCACAGGTGGGGGCAGCCTTTCTGATGCGAACGTTAAGTTCTCTCTCCAGTGAGAGGTTGGTGGTCACTCCAGAAACTAGGTAGCTGAACTTTTGGACTACTTCAGTGCTTGCACTAAAGATATTCAATACAAACATTGTAATTGTAAATGGCATTGTAACTATTGAGCAAGAAGCACATTTAGCATGTAACGATCACTCTGTTGGAATCTGTGTGTGGCATTAAGGATGTTCAGTCATCCATACGACCAGGACAAGCCATACCTGACAATGAAGCATGTGCATAGCACCCATCTTCTGTTCCACTCCTGTAAAACTTCACAGTTTTGCCTTTGGTTTTAATGGGAGTACGATCGGGTCAGTAATATTCTGTATATATGCAGCATTGCCAACCTTGTGTATTGAACATTTAAAAAAACTCAAACTGTAAAAATTGTGATTTTTTTTTTTAAATAAAAAAAAAATCATGCATTTGAGTTCTTCCTATTTGTCTTCCGGTTTCTGCAATTTTAGGGTGCACTTGGTTCACTTTGTTAAGCTTCTGTCTGCCACCATGGGAACTTGAAACTTGTTTTTTTTCTTTTTTAAATGAGAGGCGAGACTCCAGGCGCTGGGGCTCTAAGAGCATCTACAAAATACTGTAAGACGTACGATGAAAGTGTGAGTGCAGGCAACCGTACACGTTAAGTAAAGGGGCAATAGATGCGGGAGAGCAGATTCAATCAATGTGGAAGATATTCCAAAACCCCATCCCACTTTTTTTTTTGAGTCTTCACAAACTTCTCTAACGTATTAAAAAAACTTCCACAAAGGATGAGAGAGAAGCGCAACCTGGTATCACCGCACCAAGCAAAGGGCCAGACTCGTCTTCCACAGAAGATGATAAGGGAAGCGCGGCACGCGTTGGACTTAATGCAGTCCATTTATGAGGGCGACAAAGCAACTCCCTTTATTATGACTTTGAACGCGTTTCCTGGGCGTCCTGCTCCCGAATCGGGCCCCTAACGTGCTAGGCACTGTACAGACAGCGGCTTGGGTGAGCCCGCACCTAAACCGAACCGTCTCAATACAAGACGAGGGGCAGCTCTTGAAAGGACGACGAGAAAAGAGCGGTCTGGCGGCCGAACCGTGAACCGGCGCTTGTTTTTTGGGGAAGAGGAGCGTTTGAAGAGAGGACGGTGGATGTCGCTCTGAGGAGTCCTTCCACGCAGGGGGCTGGGCGCGAAGTGACTGTTGGCGCTGCCGGGGTGTGGAAACCGCAGCTTTCTTTCACATCCCACATCCATCCCCTCTGCCGTGCGCGGGAAGACGAGGCAGCTCGCCGCGCTGAGGAGCAGGCCCCAGCCCGGCCCCAACGTGCCGGGGCCGCGGCGCCGGGGGAAGGTTTCCGCGACGGACCCAGCGCGGCGGCGGCAGCGGCGGGGCCCTCATGACTGCGCGCTCCTGTCCGGCACCCCCCGCCTCAGGCCGCGCTCGGCCCCCGTGTCCGGCTGCCCTCCCTGCCTCCCACTGCATCGCTCCCGGCGTCTCGCGGGGCCTGTGGGGTGAGGCCGGGGGCTGCGCGGCGCGACTCCGTGATGACCGGTGCGAGAGCGGGCCAGGTCAGGCCGAGGGCCGGTGCTGAGGGCTGGTGGCTGGCGCGGTAAATGTGCCGCAAGTGCGAAGGACTTATCGCACAGTTCGCTGCTGGGTGGTGCAGTAAATGCGGCCTGGGCACGCTAGCAAAGGAAGGCCGCCGCAAGTGCTAAGGATTTATTGCACGGTTCGCTGGTGGATCGCGCAGTAAATGTGCCACAAGCGCAAAGGGCTTCTTGCACGGTTCACTGGCAGATTGCGCAATAAATGTGACCCAGCAGTGCAAGGTAAGGCCGGGGACAAGTGCTAAGGATGTATTGCACGGCTCACTGGCGGATCACGCAATAAATGCAGCCCAGCCACGCATGCAAAGTAAGGCCGGCCACGAGTGCAAAGCACTTATCGCACAATTCACTGGGGGAGCGTGCAGTAAATGCTGCCTGGCCACACGTGCAATGTAAGGCTGGCTGCAAGTACAAATGACTTATCGCACAGTTCACTGGTGAATTGCGCAATAAATGCGGCCCAGGTACACGTGCAAAGTAAGACCAGCTGCAAGTGCAAAGGACTTACTGCACGATTCGCTGTGGATTATGCAATAAATGTGCCACAGGTGCAAAGGACTTATCTCCGTGGTGGATCACGCAATAAACGCAGCCCAGCCACATGTGCAAAGTAAGGCTGGCTGCAAGTGCAAAGGACTTATTGCCCAGTTCATTGTTGGATCACAGAATAAATGCAGCCCAGGTACACATGCAAAGTAAGGCGGGCCACAAGCATAAAGGACTGCTTGGAGCAGGGGTTGGACTAGATGTGACCTGAGGGTCCTTCCATTTTTTCTGATTCTGTGAATCGTGCAATAAGGATAGACCCACCATACATGCAAAGTAAGGCTGGCTGCAAGAGCAAAGTACTTATCCCACAGTTCACTGGTGAATCGTGCAGTAAAGGTGGCCCGGCCACACGTGCAAAGTAAGGCTGGGCACAAATGCAGAGGACTTATTGCACAGTTCATTGGTGAATCACGCAATAAAGGCAGACCCACTACACATGCAAAGTTATTCTTGCACAATAAAAATGACTGTCCAGCTATAAAAAGACCCAACGAGCTGTAAAGTTAGGGCCTGAAAATGTGTAACAGCTCTATAGCTGGTTTATATCTAATTTTAATATGAATGTGTAGCAGAGCCCTAACTTTGCTGCTTTGATAATCACTCCACAGAGCTTTTCCACGAAGCACTGTTTTGTGTGGTAACGGAAAGAAAGGATCATCATGCCGACAGTGGTGGTGATGGACGTATCGCTCTCCATGACCCGGCCTGTCTCGGTCGAGGGATCTGAAGAGTATCAGCGTAAACACCTGGCTATCCATGGACTGACCATGTTGTTTGAACACATGGCCACCAACTACAAACTTGAATTTACAGCCTTGGTGGTTTTTTCATCGCTTTGGGAGCTGATGGTTCCCTTTACCAGAGATTACAACACACTTCAGGTACCGCATTTAAAAAATGTACTTGAGAATCAATGAGTTGCTGGTGTTTGTAAGATTCAGCATGTTTCAGAATTACATCTAAGGATCTCATGGCCAGTTTACCCAGAGTAGCCAAGAGACCATTCCTCCCTCCAGATCTCTCACCTAAATTATCAGGTAGCAGCTGAAGTGGGGTTAATTACGGGGAGGAAGAAAATGTGAGAAAAGGGGGCTGAATAACAAAATGAGGTGGTTATTTGGTGAGCCATGTCTGCATACTGATGGTTCTGTGACAGTCATATTTTTGGATGTGAGCACTGACTTGTTCCATAGGTGATGCAGCCGAAGGAAGCTTTTGGAAGGTTTAGGATAGATGCAAGGTAGGAGGAGAATGGGAAAAAGTGAGTAAGAGGTTTTCAGTAAGCTGGCATGACTGGCTAAAGAAAGGGAGATGCGGAGAACACAGGAAGGTTGTAAATGTGTTTGAGAAATGTTAGGACACAGCACTGTGAGTTTCAAGTTGCCTGGTTATGAAACATAGTAATAGAAGAGACCTGGGTCTTCAAGTCCACTCCTCAGCTACTGCAGGCACCATGTCATACACACTGTTTTATAGAAGTGTAAGTCCTTTGACAGACTTGTTGCTTAAAACCAGTGCCCCATACTGCTTGCCCTTTATCATCTGAATTCTGCCACGTTCTCGTTTCTGTAGCATATTTCTGGACAGTTGGCCTTGGGAAATCTGTCAGGCCCAAAGTGTTCAACCAAATCCCTGTAGGTTGTACTGCTGTATGTATTGTGCAGTGTGTTGTGATGCTTTGCTGATCTAGTATACATTTCCATTTTAAAGAGGAGGGAAAGTTGTATAGTTGAAGCTAAAAATGGACACAAATCTCTCTCTGGCATAGATTTCATGTGTGGCAAGATTTCAGGCTGTGGGGCAAGCAACCTATGGCTCAGTTTCTACCACCTCTGTAAACTGGAGCTATAATAGCTGCCTTGCCTCATAGTGGTGTTGTGAGGCCGCATTCCTTAGGGTCATATTTATGATATGGATAAATAGAGCCTTCTAAAGCTGAGCATGGTTTTCCAATCACTTTACTGGGTGAATAAATGGACCCTCAGAAAGCATTCTGAGATCTTTGAATGGGAAGTGCTGTTAGACAGCAGAAGATTGTTATTTTGTGTGTACGCAGGTGTTTGAAACATCAGGGCAATGGGAGCAAATACTGTGCTTTACATGGGGTAACAGCACAGCTTTCAGCATTTACCTTTATTATTTTCAGAGACCTGTAAAGGATCTTTAAAAAATGGGTTGTGCCTTACATGTACTTAGATTTGTTTCCTCTCAGCTTTTGTTCTTTGCTCACAGTTTCAGTTGTTCCCCGGTCAATATGTGCCCTGCCAGACCTGAATCTTTAATAGGAGAGAGCAGAAAATACTCAATGAAACCAATCAAACCTTAGTTCTTTCCTTCTACATCATAAAAAGGCAAAAGCCTAATTTTTAAATTTTGCAGGTCATTTTTAATAATTGTTTCACCCTTTGATAGTAATGCAGTGGGCACAGAAAATAAGTATGAGTTATTCCCTGTCTCTAAATAAACTGTATATACTTTGTGATGATGATACTCCACCCAGAGGTGCTGATGTTCACTTGTTGTTGCAGGAAGCCTTAAGCAACATGGACGATTATGACAAAACATGCCTAGAAGCAGCACTGCTTGGGGTGTGCAACATTGTGCAGCAGGAATGGGGTGCAGCAATTCCCTGCCAGGTAATGGTTGGTGGCTGAGTTCATTGGATTCTAAGAACAATCCAAGTAGTTCTGGAGTGCTATAAACTGCATGTTGAAAAATGAGTGTATATGGCCATTATTGCAATGGAAGACTTCAGCCCTTCAGTAGAGTGCCTAGCAGCATATTTGGGACTGACTTCTACCCAGATAGTGGTTGAAAGAACAGTATTGGGAAACCCGCTTCAGTACAGATTTGCTTGGTACAAATGCATGTATTTTGGGGGCTGGACTCGATGATCTTCCGAGATCCCTTCCAGCCCAAATGTCTATGAAATCTATGAAAATGGTGATCCTTGAACACTTTGGGGAAGCTTGTTTTATGTTCCTGGCTACTATCCCCAAGGAGCCATAGTGAGCTAGGCAGGAGACATGGTCATATACAACTGTCCTCTCCCAGTATTCACTGTGAGGATCAGGGCCAAGCAAGGGTAAGGGTTGCAGTTGAGAATGATTTGTCCTCGAACCCCAAACCAAATGGGCAGCTTACATCTGCCCTGATCAGGTTGAAGAATTCAAAGAACATCCACTCGGTCATTAAAGCTTTCAGCTGTGTTCCTTTGAAGGGAAAAGCCTGAATTTAGCCCTCATTTTTTCCAAGACACTAATAGTCTGTGGCTGTTTGAGTTATGGTTTAAATTAACTAATTTTGCAGCTCAGTGGACTGAGGAACATCTCTTATGCATTCTTCAAAGAAAGAATGAAAAATCTGAGGAGGTTCATTGTCTAGATAGAACCTCTCATAATCTCACCATTATAAAGGCACCTTGAAAAAGCAGATGTCTAAAGCCAAGAATTAGAAGGGTGTAAAACAATCAAACACAGATCAGATTCTTAGCAACTTGATCTCTTATATGAGGCATCACTGTGCTGGCCTATCAGGTGACGGATTGCAAAGCAATGAAAAATGCACTGTGCAAAATCTTTTCATAGTAAAGCATCTTCTTGGCAAGCTCTGCAGCAAACAAAAGCACCACAGAGATAATGCAAGTGGCAGAATGGGCTGTTGAAAAGAAGAGCATTGCGAACGGTGTGCTCTTCCATCTGCTAAAATTCTGGATTATAGATCTGGATATAAAGAATAAATATTTAATTTCACCTGGGTTTGGTGTTCTTTACTTCTTGATCTAACCTGTTGTGCAGAGTTGGTGTACAGAGGTCAGACAGCAGCCATATTCTAGTATAGAAATGGCTACATTTCACTGGGGTACATGTAATCCAGTTATTTTAGGTAACTTGTAGGGAATTTTTACAGCCAACTTTGGGCTTTGTTTCAGTGGAAAATCTTATCATTAGTACTTATCACTGCTGCTGAAAGATCTGAACAGACTAGTATGTGAGCTTATAATTGTTAGCAATGTATGGAGGGTCTAATGTACCTTACAGCTCTTTCCTTGGTGTGGCCCCAATTGATATCTGTGGAAATTAGGTTGGCCCTTTTCTTTATACAGTGATAACAGATTGCACATCCCAAGCATCTTTTGTCTAAAGGTTTTGAGCCCCCAGCAGTTGCATAGCCTTATGACAAGGTAGTCTCTATGCTGAAAGGATGTAGAGCTTTGTAAGACTCAGTGTAATTTTACTTATCAGTCTATGTTTATTGGTAGCAGCATATGATTGGTACTTATAAAAATACATTCTATCCTATTTGCTTAATTAAAACTTTAGATGGTACATACAACTATTTATTATGTAGAGCATTTAATTTGTAGTGGTTAAATGCATTCATTATGTAATGTACTTGTAATACAAGTGCCTAACTCTGCAGACTTTATAACAGTAATCCTTATCTACCTAGTCCATGTAAATAGGGACTGGTTATGTGAGTAAGGATTTTCTGGGTTGAGCTGGTCCCAATAGGACAACTGGCTTGAGTGAAGTTAAGTACAGGTATAAATATTTGCCATGTTGGTGCCTGTCTACAGATGAAGGCATGTTGAGTTGGAATTGCTAATATATCCTTTTCTTTCACTCTAGGTTGTCCTAGTAACTGATGGCTGCTTAGGGATTGGCAGAGGCTCTCTGCGGCACTCCTTAGCTACTCATAACCAACGAAGTGAAAGCAACCGATTTCCTCTGCCTTTCCCCTTCCCCTCCAAGTTGTACGTCATGTGCATGGCTAATCTGGAAGAGGTGACTCTTTTCACAAATTATTTTTCAGTCTTGGGGATAATAGTTCTTGCATGTTCTCAGTCACTTTCTAACATCCTAGTTCTATAGTGCTTGGTTTGGGTGATAATTTGGTCACATTTAACTGCAGTGCTTGCTACTTCATTTTATGACTATCTTTAGATTAAAAAACATGAGGTTCCAGACTCTGATGATTCCTGACAGTTTTGTTCTAGGGAATTGTATCATCTTTATTTCAGGGTTTCTGTGGGTACATCTTTCTGTGCTAGGTGAGGCTGAGGTGTTGAAAAATAAGGTCCTAAAATTAGTCTCTGAAATCCATATCCTGTCTTCAGTAAATGGCTCACTTTTCAAGTGGACTACTGGATGCCCAGCATTTCTGAAAAATGAGTTGTTTATTTGCAAATGTAAATGTAGACTTTCAGCTCCTGGGTTGGCATTTTGAAAAAAAGATTCCTAATCTGTGTTGGTTTTCATGAGAGTTTGACCATATCACTCTTGGGCACCTCCAAAAATCTGAGCTCCACTTTTGAAAATCTTAGGGTTATTTAATAAGAGAAATGTTTTGTTTTTTTTTTGTCGTCTATATTTTTCCATAATGGGCACACCAGAAATGCCACGAATAGAAGGATTTTCCACTTACGCAGGTGTGCTGTTTATATTGCAGGTTGGAGATCTTTGTCAAGGATGATTTTCTTGATCAAACTGATAAAGTGTTATTAACATTTTAGAATAAATTAAAAAATCTTTTTAAGGTGATCTTTTATTAATAGGATGTGCAGTCACTCTCACAAGCAATCTCTGAGAACCTCCCATGGGAAGAGAATAATGTTTTGCTAGCCCTCTCTTAAAATTATGTTACTCTAAAAAATCGGGAAACTATTATAACCACTAATAAAATACAGCTATGAATATATTTCTAGGTTGCATCCAATCCAGTGTTGCACTAAACATAAAACATGCATAGTTTGTGCTGAAGTCCAGTTAACTTAATCTTAGCTAGAGCTGGTCAAAAGATACAGAAAGGAGAATCTTGATGAGAAATTTTGCTGGTGTCCTTTAAACAGAGTTGGAAATGGACCCATTTTTAATTTTAAAAGTTTGAAATAAATTTGTCATTGAATGCATCAAAATCACTAACATAGTGGCTGTGAAAAATGTTCATGTGTTAAATTTTCATTTTCTGAATTGAGAATGAAGAATTTAGAAAAGCCCAACAGGTTTTTCCAGTAGTTTTCATCTTCAAATGAAAACCTTCTTATTAAAAAAAAATTGAGTGACCTAAGGTCCAGCCATTTGGATTTAGGCTTCTCCTCAACTGTCTACCTCTCACTGGCCAGGACCATTAGGAAGAATTAACGTACAAACATACTATTGTGAGGCTCTGTTCTTTTTCAGTGGTAAAATATCTGCATCCAGCCCATTCCTAATTAAGAAATGTAAACTCTGCCTGACTGCAATTAAGGTGGTCTAAAACTGCACATCGAGGAAGGCAGGATACAGTTTGTGGTTAGTGGATAGGGCAGCGGCAGGCATTTATTTTGGGCAGGGGGCTGCTTACTGAGTTTCAGCAAGCCATCAAGGGCCGCATGACAGCCAGCCCAGGGAAGATTAATATTGATGTTCTAAATTTTTTAGGCACCCTGCAGGCCGCATCCGGCCCCCGGGCCACATTTTGCTCACCCCTGGGATAGGGCCTAGTCAGGAAAACTGGGCTCTGGCCTGGACTTGATCACTGTTGCATTGTAGGTAATTACTTGGCTAATAGGAGTTTTGTCATTGGCATCTCTGAAACTGGGATTTCACCCTTGATTTCTCAGACACACAGCTCCCAATGGAGAGAGTGCTATTTGCAATGCCTTGCCATTATTGGTAAAGTGCTGTGAGATTATTTCTATTGCAGCGGTGCCTTGGAGATCCAGCCAGAGATAATGGCTATGCTGCGCCAAGCACTATACAAGCACATAGCAGAAAAATAGCCTCTACTCCAAGGACCTTACCCTCGAAGTAATCCTTTGAGGAAAGGCACTATAGAAATACACCGTTTATATTATTAAAGGTACTTCAGTACTCTTGAAAACTAAGTGTTCTTGTGAGTACTGGAGCTTTTGAAAAGGCTTTGGAAACTATGATTTACCAGCTGCAGTATAAGGGCCATATTCTGGCTAATAATAAAAGTTACATTAGGAGTAAATTTCTTGCAGGAACAAACTTTTTGGCTTCTTTAAAAATTAATTAGATAATTTTCCGTTCACACAGACTTTACTCTTATTGGCAGAGGTAATCTTAAAATCTGTGTAATAACACATTTGTTCTGTTCTTGTGCTATATGGATATCTTTTCTTTTGCTTTGCAGCTCCAGAGCTCAGATTCTCTCGACTGTCTGGAACGACTCATAGATTTGAACAATGGGGAGGGACAGATTTTTACCATTGATGGACCTCTTTGCTTGAAGAATGTACAGTCCATGTTTGGGTTAGTAGGCTTGTAACTCATATGGTTCTTAATTTACACCTGTAAAGAAAAACATAATGCAAGATAACTGATAATTTGTGATATTTGAACTCGGAGGCTTTTTCTTTCCAACATCGTTTTGACTATATTATTGATCTACCTTGTCCTTCTTGGGTTATGGCTGGTATTTCTTTTGTGTACTCAGTAATTAAAAACAGCAGCATCCATATTTACAGATATTTTCCTTTAATTTGACAACTTGGGATGCACATTTACCTGGAACCTTTTCAAGAACTGGCATTAACATGCCATAAAATTCATAACGTACTGTAGCATTCATCACTGGGCAATGCTATAACTATCAAGTTAACTTCAGATTTTATAAAAGATTTGGGAGCTCAGCTAGTGCACTTTAAACAAACTTAAATAATTTATTTTCAACTGATTTGTGTTACTTTTTCCCTAATAATAAATGATCATGTTCTAGAAAACTAATAGACCTGGCTTATACACCATTCCACGCTGTTCTCAAATGTGGCCACTTAACATCTGATGTGCAAGTATTTCCCAGACCAGAACCTTTCATTATAGATGAGGAAATAGATCCCATCCCCAAAGCAATAAATACAGGTAACAAATGTTTGTTTTGTTTTTGTTTTAAACTTACTTTAGTTTTAATTTTTATTTCTCTTCTAGCGTCCCCCACCTTGCTTAGTGCGTGTTCTCTCCTCACTCTCTGCCCCGCAAGGAGTGGCATGTAGTCATCAGTAACACTGCAGTTGTGTTCACCCTTTTCAGACTCCTGTACAGGGCTGGAGTGATATAGAGGGTTTCTAAAAGCTTTGTTTCACCCAAGGTGAAAATTTCCTTGGTGCAGGGACAGGTGGACAGTTGTAGACTGACCTCCAAGGATTTCTCTGAAAGTATGATGTAGAGGATAGAAAGGGCATGTTGGGCTAGAGCAGCATTTCTCAACCTGTAGGTCACCACCCAAAAGTGGGTTGCAAGAATACATGAAAGGGTGGTGAACAAACTTTAAAAATGGATCAACAAACTAAAAATGGATTCTTCTTTAAAGGAGAAAAACGTGGGGAAACCATGGGCTTTCTCTTGCAAGCTGTCAGAGTCCCAGCCTCTAAGGGGCTGCTTGGGGCCTGCCATACCCCACACACACCTACTCCCTGCCCCACACACTGGAGGGTAGGGGGCAGTGGGTCAGGAGTGAGGGGCACCAGGTTGAGACTGGCCATTGATGTTTACAAATGGGTCCTGATACAAAAAAGGTTGAGGACCACTGGGCTAGAGCATACAACAGTGTGGAGAGTCTAACTGTCTGTATCCAGTGGGAGGGGGCAAAGGATTCTTAAAGTCTCCTTTGTCCCTAGGTTGCAAGTTCTAATCTGAACCTCTTAAATGGAGACTGTCTGGTTTTAGGAGTCTGACAAGCAGATATGGAGACTTTCACAGCTGGGCAATTTGAATTCAGGGCAGCCTGGTGGTGACTAGAAACCATTATCCCCTGAAGGTTGCTCAGAGGCAAATGAGCTGGTGGTGGCAATGCAGGTCATATTATTAGAGAGCTTGCATCAAAACCTTATTGTCCCTTGGAATAAAGGAGCAGGCTCTCTAGAGAAGTCAGCAGAGACTGAGCTGTTCTTGAGAGGCTGGAATTGAGAAGATTGTCAGGGCAGCCTGGAGAAAGCTTCCACTGCCATTGCCTAGATCTTCCTTCTCTAGCCATGTCAATCTGGCACTGCTTGCCCCTCCTAAATTCTCTCTAAAAACAATGAGGAAGGGCAGAGTCATTGTTCCCAGATGGTGAATGACACCCACCCACAGAGGACACTGATAAATGTGCACAACCCACAAATCAGCAAGTGCATGACAAAGAGAGCATATACTGCAGTGTTTGCAGCTATGGTGTAGATAGAGAATATAAGGTTGCCTCAGCAAAGTAACCTCCAGCTCATCCATATTGTACACTTGCCCTGGTGCTTTTGACTTTATTCCTTAGTGTTTGGCAGTAGTGTCAGATTGTTCCAGGCGGTCATTTCCCTTCCCCAGCCTCCCCTGTGCAGTTTTGTAAACGAGATTTGGCTCGATTGCATTGTTCAGCCAAAAACAGGTACTTCTTGCAAAAAATACAGTGATCAAACAATTACGTTAAATTGCACTAAGTGCAGTAGGTTTACTGCAACTGGGGCATCTAGGCTTCATTGATTTTTACAGATACAAAGGACAAATATTTGGGTGGGGAGCACAGTGTAATTACATGTTTTTGTGGGATCTACATTGAATTCAGACTGGTATTACTTTTAAATAGAAATTGATATGAGTACTGAAAGCTAGCACAGCTGAAAAAAATGGGGGTGTGGTGTTAGTCTGGATAAGAGGACTCCTTATCGTATTTCAGCTAAGCGGGTGATCTTCTTGTCACTTGAGACAGGAAATTTGGTATAAATGAGGTGTTGCTCTATGTCCATTGAACTGCACCTTAATTGCAGTTCAATTGACCATTTGTAGGTTTAATTAAGTGGTGTATTAGCTATGGAAAGCATCAATTTTTATAGCCTTTGGGCCAAATTCGTTGCCACAGAGCTGAGACCTTTAATATAAAGATTACAGCTTCCTGGTTCTTGTACTCAGCATTTATTAGATGAACCCAAGAGCTCCTCTGACTTGTGCTGGATAAGTATGCTGCCCAAGGGATTCACCATGCTCTGGCTCCGCTGCTTCATTATTCTGTGCATCTTGGACACAGAAGCTGGAGCAGCAGAAGGGGGCTATGCTGACTTTATATTTGCTAGTGATTCTCTTTGCTGGGGCTAACTCTGGCAAGGGGATGAAGAGAGACTTCTGTTCCCTGTGTGCTGTGCAAGTGGTGAGAAGGGAGTGGCTCAGGCTGAGGCTCATTAAAATCTCAGACAATCCACACCTGCAATTTCAGAGATGAGTGACCCTTCCTGTCCTTTACGATTTATAACAAACACCTTGAAAAAGCTGATAGTTATAACAACATTTTTCCTGGATAGCCTGGTGCCTCTTGCAGAAGGGCTACCTGCGATAGTTGGTTTTTAATGGCCCACTTTGAAGTTCCATTATTGCTGTGTTTGTAGCACAGACAGTTCCTGCTCATGTTCAGGTCCCAGTGTGATAGGTGCTGTAGACACAAAAAGCTTCCAGACGTCCAAGAACTAGTGATGTTAAACTGATTGTAAAAAATGTATTGGCTGTTTCCAAATCTGACCTAAATCTATTGTTTCTTTACAGATCTAGAAATAGTTGGTTTTATAGACATAGCTGATATTTCTAGCCCTCCTGTCTTATCTAGACACCTGGTGCTGCCCATAGCACTCAACAAAGGTGAGCAGATTTTGTTTCTAATGGTTGTTGTTGTGCTGTTTGGAATTCACTGTTTTTATCTTCTGTTGGCATGGTGGTAATACAGAAAGCCCAGCATCCTGCAGATCGCATAAAGGGCAAGTGCTATGTCCTTAAAAAAAAGGGCATTTTTGATGGCCACATTAAAATTAAAATCTTAAACCCTACCTCTACCTTCTTTCTTTAAAAAAAATCCTCTTAAAAGTGTATCTGTATATGAAAAGGCAAAGCTGCAACAAGGGTCAGTGGCCCTTTTGTAACACCATAAATAAAACTTTCTGAATTTTGAGCTAAAAGTAACTCTGGTCAGGAAGCAGGTGACACGAGATGAATGCTTAATGCGAGCTTTTATCTGCTTGTACTGATTTGGGGCTTGGGATGTTTTTAAATCTGGCCTTCAACATGGCTTTGAATTAGCACTGTGATTATTTATGTTACTCAGAAAAGTCATCCACTGCTAGCTAATGTTATTTGTATAGTATGTGTAACCAGCTGGCAGTGCAAAGAAGAAATTTTGTGAGGTTTTTCTTGGAAAAAAAGATTGAAAGGAAAACTTAGCAATTACTGGGTTGGTCTCTATATATCAGCACTCTGGTTCTGCCAAAGGTGTCTCCCTTGTAAAAACCAGCTGTTGATTGCTGAAGCACAGCTGTATTCCAGCTGCTAACATACAGCAAATTGCTCCTGGTGATCTAGAAATGGGAAACATCATGAGAGAGGATGGTTCAGGGATCTCTGATCAGAAGACTCTGTGTGTACTGGCTGCAAGAATATGGGTATTTTAGTGTTTTTTCTCCAAAGATAAGTTACCCTTGGGTCTGGGGCAGCTCTTCAGAAACAGTTTTGTGAGGAAGATACAGGAGAAAAATGCATCATCCTATGCCATCTTAGTTGCACAGTCTACTTTGCCCAGGCATTTCACTTGGCAGCTGTTTAAGACAGTCTTGTGCTGCAGTTCTAGCCCATGGGGTTCAGCATATCAGAGGGGAGGCTGAGATTGTGCAAGAACTGGAGCTTTCCTATAGAAAGGAGAATGTGTGCAGGGGGCCAGCGTTGCTCTTTTGAATGTGTGTGGGGGGTGAATGTTGCTCTTATAGGGTGATTTGCTCTCCATTAATGACAGGCATCTGTTCTAGGGGACTTTCCAAGTGATGGGTGCTAGATGCCCTGCATAGTAGAACCAGTGCTTGTGAGTTTAAATTTATGCTCTTGCTTTTTCTCTTTTATTTTTTTTTTCACAGAAGGGGATGAGTTGGGTCCAGGGATCACTGATGACACAGAAGATGAGAATTCAGCTAATCAGATTGCTGGCAAAATACCCAACTTCTGTGTACTGCTGCATGGGAGCCTGAAGGTGGAAGGCATGGTGGCCATTGTCCAGTTAGGGTATGGATGTGGAGTTCTTCTTGCAGTCTTTCTCTGCCCTTGGGGATATAGGAGCAGTCATTTATGCAAACCTCACAGTACTGGATACAAAAGTTGGATTTTTTTTAATGTGATTCTGGATTTTGTAGTTTGCAGAAGCTTTCAAGTTACAGTAGGAAGTGAAAGAAACATGAAGTTTTCAGCCTGTATGGTCTACTCTTTTCTCTAGGCCAGAGTGGTATGGGATGCTGTACTCCCAGGCTGACAGCAAGAAGAAATCAAACCTCATGATGTCTCTCTTTGAACCTGGGCCTGAGCCCCTCCCTTGGCTAGGGAAAATGGCACAGCTTGGGCCTATTTCAGGTAGTAACTAACCCAGTTTTAAAGTCCCTTGTACACGTGATGTTTGTTGTGTTAATGTCCCAGCCAAGTCTTGTTCTTAAAAGTCTTTTCTTCTTTCAGATGCAAAAGAAAACCCTTATGGGGAAGATGACAATAAGAGCCCTTTCCCTTTGCAGCCCAAGAATAAGCGGAGTTATGCACAGAATGTCACTGTGTGGATCAAACCAAGCGGCCTGCAGGTACGTGCTCTGTATTTAGCCTTGGTGCTTTGATGTAGCTTAGCGGTGATCCTTTGGAAGTATCCAGCACAGGGTGCAGGTAAGTGGGGCTCGACTGTGCGTCATCTGCTCTGGGGAACTGTCTACGTCCCCATGTCTATCCTGCAGGAAGTGAGTACTGAACTAGGGCAACGTAGCCCTTGGAAATAGGGCTGAACTGATTCTGTTTGGCTCTTTAATTAGGGCAGACTGGCAGTTATTGTGGGGCAGCTGACATGTAACAAGCTACCGTCTTCTTTTACTGGCTGGACTTTGTTGATACCCTCCCTGCTAGCAGCAGCATAGTCTCTGTTGCTTCCATCTTGTACTGTTACTTTATTGTGGTTTCTCTAAAAGCTTTCTCTTTAAAATTACATGATTAAAACACACAAGCAAATGAAAATGGTTCACTGAAAGCCATCCCTGGCCACTTGGCATCATGCTTAGTTCAGTTGGTTTAGAGTAGGGGTGCTCAACCTCCAGCCCACAGGCCAAATGCAGCTCACGCACCCATCTCATCTGGCCTACAGGGCTCCCCATGGTAGGGGTGCACCAATAAAGATTTTCTTGGCCTATACTGATGGCCGATACTGACAGTCTATTATTAACCGACTATATCGACTGATGCCAGTCCAATAACCAATATTAGTAACAATGCAAGGCATTTTAAAGTACTGACATAAACCTTTATTTTTTGCACACTCCAGCAGTCCTGTGTCACATGTATCAGTGTCCCAGCACTTAAAAATGGTGGCAGGGGCACTTGAACTAAAGCTTGTGAAATGAGCTTTAGTTCAAGACCCACCACCACCATTTTTAACCACAGCAACACTTTTACACAGAGCAGGGTGAGGGTGGACGCAGTGTGGCCGCTGTGGGCTTGGGACTCTCTGCCCTGCTGCCTTTGTCTTGGGGAGCCCCATGCCAACTATGCACCCCGCTGCCAGCTCTGCAGCAGGGAGCACTACTTGCTGCCCCCACTGCTGCAGAGTAGGCAGGGGGTACATGGCTGGCTCAGGGGTCCTGAGGGAAAGGTAGCAGAGCAGAGAACCCCAAGCCTGCAACGAGCAGCCCACATCCACCCCATGTACAAATCTATGGGGGTATATGCCCCCCATGCCTCCCCCAGAGTTTGCGTGTAGTGGTAAGGAGCCACCCCCACCCCCGTGCATTCTCTGGACAAGCTGCCAGTGGCTCCATCATACACCCTGACTCAGCCCCAGGTCCCGTGCACCACCCTGGCTGGGCAGCGCCCCCAGCCTCTACCTCTGCCCCAACTTCCTCCCTCACCATGGGGGCCTTGATCTGTCCCCCCCAACCCATGCCCCTTCTTCTCCTTAGACTTACCTGCAGGGAGTTGCTCTCCACACTGCCTGGCTGTATTCCTGGCCACGTGCATTCATGCGGCCATGCACATGCACATAGGCCCCCTGTGTCCTGCTCCCAGCAGCCCCAAGCAGAACCCGTTGCAGGCTAAAATGCTGCCCGCCTGCAAGGGGAAACCAGCCATTTCCTGAGGGAACCCAGGCATCTGGGGGCATCAGCCCTGTGGAGGAGAGGGAACCAAGGTGTCCAGGGCCCTGGCCAGCAGGCATAATTATTAGTAAACATTATCAGCTACAACAGCCAAAAAAGTAGATAGCCGATAATGTAGTTTCCCTTCTATTGGTGCTGATTCAATAGGCAACCAATATATCAGTGCACTTCTACGCTATGGGTCAGGAAAATTGGCAGTGGGGGTGCAGTGGCTATTTATATGGAAACATTCTCCCCTGCCAAATTCCGAAACACCAACCAGTGTGTGCCCAGTTGTGGCCAGATCAAGCTGCAACCCCTTCCCTCGCAGGGCTGGGCCAACCCCCTCCCCTCCCCACAGGGCTGGGTCGGGGCTTGGCCATGCCCCCTTCCCAGGTTCAGGCTATGCCCCCTTCCCTCCCTGAGGGGCCAGGTAGGGGCCTGGCCACATCCCCTTCACAGTCCCCCACCTCTGCAGGGCCAGGCCACATTCCCTTCCCTTTCCATGGGGCTGAGTCAAGCTCCTTTTCTGTGCCAGGAACTGGCCTGCCTCCATCCCCCTCTACACAGCCAGATGATGCCTGCCCAGGTGCGGGATAGGGCATGCTGGCTGTACCTGGTCTGTGGACAAACTGGGCACTGCCAGTCTGGCCCACCAGGCAAAAAGATTGAGCACCACTGGTTTAGTATAATTGCCGTGTGTGTGTTACCCTGGGTGAGTAGCATCAGAAGCCAGTAATCACAGGTGCTCCAGGAAAGATTGAAGGATTGTTTCCTAAGCCATTGTTGGGGATTCTTTCCTGCAGCCTCTCTGAAAAATGACATGATCTTTTCTTTTCCTTTCTCTAGACGGATGTGCAGAAAATCTTGAGAAATGCAAGAAAACTTCCTGAAAAAACTCAAACATTTTATAAAGTGAGTAACATTGTAGGATTGCTTATAACCATATTCTGTACAAGCTGGAAGCCCAGTGGTGATGGTCCATCAATAGAGAGCCTGAGTGCCATGTAGGGGGTGTTAACACGTGGTCAGCATTAATTCTCAGCAGCTGCGGGGAGGGAGGTAGGCATTTGATTCAGTTCACTGATTAGTAAAGCTGAGATGCTGAGTCCCTTTCCTATCTGCTGCTCACGTGGACAGAGTTCCTGTACATTTTGGGGGTGGTGGATGTTCTCTCAGAGAGAGAGGAGGAATGGTATGCACTAGTCACTGCTGCCAAGTGAGGTCCTAAATGGAACAGGGAGACTGTCTCATCCTGCTTTCACAGGCTGCTACACAGGGCACAGGACTGGTCCAGAGGGGTCACAGAAGGAAGTGAGAGCGTGAGCGGGCAGTAACCCACACAATTTCTCCTCTGAGGAGCTGCTGCCTGCAACATGCTGAAGGCTGCTGCTAGCAAGGCAGAGTGAAATCTAATACTCCAAGGACAGATGGCTCCAATGCAGCACTCTTAAAACCAGACTATGACCAGGGTCGATTGCCACTCCTCCCACAATAAAGCAAAAGCAATTTATGATGTTTGCCTCCAGCTGGGGTGCTGGTGTGCCCTGTAGAAAAACATGCAGAGCTACAGTCCCTGTCATAAGTTTACAACCTAAGAAAATCGGTATTATAAATCTGCTGGCCCTGATGATCGAGATGCTAGGACGGAGCAAATGACAGAGCACTTAGCTTCAGGACTGCTAGCTTGGGAGAAGGGCAATGTGACCATGGAAGCAGAAAAAAGCAGGTGATGGGGAAACTCAGCGTTCTTAGTAGCACTGGAGGTCACCCTTACTTCATTTTGTTTCTGGTTGGGAAGCTTCCCAGACCAGAGTCCACCTGTTTTACTGTTTGGAGCAAGTCTGCAAGGAGCAGAATGTTAGAATAGGGATGGCTTTCAATGGCATTTTTCTTCCTCCCAGGAACTGAACCGTTTGCGCAAGGCAGCCTTGGCTTTTGGCTTTTTGGATCTTCTGAAAGGCGTGGCCGATATGCTGGAAAGGGAGTGCACACTTCTTCCTGATACAGCTCATCCTGATGCAGCATTCCAGCTTACACATGCTGCCCAGCAACTCAAAGTGGCAAGTACTGGGACCTCAGAATATACTGCCTATGACCACAATATCACCCCGCTGCAGACTGACTTCTCAGGGAGCAGTGCCGAGAGAATGTGAGAACTGGTTTTTAGAACTTTTTGGGAAGGATTTCCAAGTCTCAAGTGGTCCAAAGTTTCCTGTCTTACTTGCGTTCTGGGACCTGTTCAAATATTGTCCAAAGAACTTTGATACAAATTGGAGAGTCTCTAAATACAATCTCTTATTTCTAAATGTGGGACTGGTTTCGTTTTTGTGGATTTAGAGGTTGACCTGGAAAGTGTATTTTTAAATGTCTTGCGAAGGCCTCGAATACTGCATTGAAGTGTGAGCAGAGGGAACTTGGTATGTTGTTAAAGGATGTGTGAAGAAACAAAGACAATGCTCTCAGGCAGTGGATGGTGCCAGCACTATGCCTGTACCCACTGGTGATTGGGGGCTAACAGCGTTAGATTAGTGGCAACAAGCATTGGTGAAGCCTCTACCCCAACAGCTGGGGTTATCATTTGGGGCCTGACTTTCCAAGTGCCAGTTGTGCAGCTGCACACATGTACATGGCTTCAGGTTGGATGCACAGCTCACCCTTTCCACAAGCAATTGCCTGACAATTTATGGCCTGATGTTCAAAATGCAGTTGCTAACATTTTAACATCACCTGTCCAGTGGTGCTGACACCCATGAAGAATAGTTTACATTCTGCAATGAAAAAAGTGGGTTTTTTTTAAAATAAATTGTAAGCTATGACATGAATAAAGATTAATGTTTTGTGGAAACTGCTTTTGGTTCCAGCTTCATAAGATCTCTGGTGTATTCATGCTTAGTATTACACAGGCTTAATATTGAGCCAGGGAAAGTATGTCCATGCTGTTCACCATGAAGGTCAGGTACCAAATTGTTTCCAGTCATTTGTACGAAGAACAACACAAAAGAGGACTTCGCTTGTAAATCTTTATTGATAGAAATACACATTCTGTTGCTTTTAGAACTAGGAAACTCAGGAGATTATGGTCTGTAACAACTTCCACCAGATATTACAACTTAACTGAGAAATGTCATGTTGTTATGAAAATGTATAATAAAGAATAAATGCCCTGTTGAGGAGCTCAAACAAAATAATGGAAGGCAACATCCCTGCCATGCTAATGAGATTTCAGTGCTAACTCTAACCTATATGATCCCTCAACTGTTATCAAGCAGGTTTGTGTATGCAAATGTGTGTGCAGTAGTGAAGCAGTAAGTTTATAAATTATGCCCTGCCTCTCCTGAGGAAGCAGTTTATGCCCTGGCTTTGCCATCATGAGCCAAAGGTTCATTCATCAGACATTTCAAAAGCGACAGAAGTTCTTCAAGACCTAATGTCTTTTGTTGATAAAACTGTTTGTTGCAAAATGCCCTCTGATGAGCCTGTATGTCCTTACCCTGGCCTGATAGGAAGTAGCACTGGGAGTGTTTAACAGTGAAAAAACAACCAACAGTTTGATCAGTTGGGACCTGGGAATAAAAAGGACAGATACCTTTTTCCTACAACACTTTTAACACACGGCCATGCAAACAGTGGGGTGTAGTGAACATCAGGGATGCTTCTGGATTATGGCTGTTAGCCTGCATTAATGCTGCAAGCTGCTACAGGCTTTTAAATTTAACCACAGAAGCAAGACAGGGCTGAAGTCTAGGAGGTCAAGTTGGAGGTGCAGGGAGAGGGTCCACCACTGAAAATACCTGATGCCAGGGTGGGGGCAATTTTTCTATGATGGTATTAAAAAAAAAAAATCTCTAATGCAAACAGTGAAGTATCTGAAAGCATCGCTTGACTCTCCCCCATCTGGTCTGTGGCACCAAAACAGCCTGCAGCTTCCTGGATCAACACAGACCCCCAGCACTCCATACTGAGAGTGGGTAAGCAAGTACGCTTGGCAAACTTTCCACGTCAGCACGATTTGATCAGTCACGTCCCCCTCAGTTCCCAACACGACAGAGCAAGAACTAGCTGCCTCTGCTGCCCTAATACCTCAGTGTTACCTGTGTGCCTCCTAATGCAGCGCTCATGTCTTTTTCAGGATACAGAGAACAAAGGGAACTGCCTGGTTTTCCAGTGTTTGAGCATCTAAATTCTCAGGAAGGGGGGAGTTAGAAGCCACACAACAGCACAAAGCAGCTGCTGCCTTAGTGTTTTACCTGGTAAGCCACCAAGGGAAGTCAGAAGGACTAGGCTGTTTCCACTACTAATGACTGGATAGGACTTAGGTGCTGTTCAGGAACACAAGGTACTCCCGCTGCACTGGTACAGAAACTATTGCACACAAGCCAAGAACAAGTTAGTCATGTCCAAGCCAACCAGTTGTACTTCCAGGTTATTTATAAATCAGCAGAAAGCTGCTAAAAAAAAGCAGAGTTCCCACTGATCATTAATAAATGTCCCAAACCTTTTTGGGAGTGAATGGTCTGATATTATATCCCAACATCAGAAGCCTTATCTGCATGCAATATTGAAAGAGCAAATACCCAATTCAAAATAACTAGTCTTTTTCTATTTAGCGCTGCTCCATTTCTTTTCTCGTAAGTATATTATATGCAGATAACAGGATTTCTTGGTAACATGGTGGTCAATGGGATATAAATTTAAGTATTAGGTCATTGTTCAACATTAAATACCATGCATATATGACTGAAGAGTAACCAAATAGAGTATAGAGGAATGTTTTCCGAAGATGCTAAGAAATCTAACGTGATCATTGAACTGTACAAAAGTATTTATAGCATAATGGGTAAAACTGTAAGAATCACAGGCTCATCTTGTCTTTAAGATAAATTAGGTAAGAAAATCACAGCTTCGCTAACTTCACTTCATCTTTCTCTTTTTTGGTCCAAGTTTCTGCCTCCTTTGCTTGTAAAGGTAACGGAAGTTTATAAACCCTCCTGAAAGAGAGAGAGAGAATGTTTACTTGATGCCAAAGATCCCTGCAGATAACTTACGCCGGACAATTTTTTCTGCAAAAATTCAAGAACTGGCACATTTCTCAAACTAGCACTTGCAAATAGTAGTTAAATGATTTTTTCCTTAGGTGTCTAACTATGAGAGCTAAAGATAAACACTGCTTTGGTACTGTAAGGCTGCTCAGGAGTTCAGATTGTCACCTTTGAAAGGTAGCAGAAAAAAGGTAAAATAATTCTAGGGAACTTGCAAGGAAAGAAGTGTTGTAAACCTTGCAGAGACTGTATCAGACTGGATCCCCAGCGAGACGGGGGAAAGTGTCGCTGTGATTTATTTTCTCCAATAGAATGGAAGTCTAGTTAGGGTGCTAAGTTTTTGTTTGTAAATCCTGAGTTGAGAACATGCGTTCCTCTGACATCAGTAGCATCAGCCAGGACACCGCACTTTCATCAAAGATCCACTAATAGAGAACAATCGGGTGTAGCTGATCACAGGTAAACATCACTTTTATATAATAGACTGTTGTTAAGAAATCTCCTATATTGCTTTCCAGAGGACTACTTCATATTGCGCTGGTGCAATGATAGTCTAGTTAAACATCTCTATCCTGTTGAACTATAACTGTATTTTTTAGCATCTATATTTGTATGTACCTTAAAGTAATCTATGTTCTAGGTCTTCTTTTTAAGCAACTGTTATTATTCACTTGTTTTCCTCCGAATTTGTTCAGTTAACATATTTAGACATACCACATGGACGAGAAGAATTTAAGCTTATACAAACTGGTGTTATGACGACTTCCCAAACACATACTAATAATTTAATTTAAAAAAATGAAGCTGTCATCTTCCTTCCCCCATTCCCCCCCACCCCAACCACTGATTTTGGATTTTTCAACAGCTGGGAAAACACAATAAAAAAACCAGAATGGCCTACCTAAAAATAATAATATAAGGTAGATTTGAAGAAAGAATGAAAAGTTGATTGTGACGTTCAGTGGATCTGGCAATCTCAAACTGAATTTTCCTGTTTCACTGAAGATGGGGATGGCCTGTATCACAGAGACAGCTGAAAGCAGAAAGTGAAGCAGGTGAGAGGTCAAGTACAAGGTAAACTATACAGCTGGTCAAACAGGAACTTTCTCAAATGTGTTCCTTAACTGGTAAATAGTGACTTCAGCATAAATCAACTTAAAGTTGTTATTTTATACAAAGTTGCCTCAAAGTCCTGGTCTTTGCCAGACTTTAGTCCTTGGGGTTGATGAGCAGTGCTATGAGCCCATTCCCTGCAGCAAGGGGACTACTCAGCCCGTTTCTCTTATGGCTACAGCAGCTGGTTTCTCTTATGATTGCAAACCAGCGGTGCACACTTTTGTAGAACTCCAAGCTGTTTCAGCAGAAAAGTTAATGTAAACACATTGTTCACCTCCATATGAAAGAAGTCTCACAAAAGAATTAGGTCACTACTGTCTCTCTAGCATAATGGATCTCAAACTGGTCCTGGAAAAGAGCAGAGCCCACGGGTCCTGCTTCTCCAAGCATCCTCTGGCTGGGCTCCTCTCACAGGAACGCTGTGCTCATACAGCTCTACTGGAGTAGTAGCTGCAGCCTGGAGAAAGCACTTCCAGCTCCATGGCTTTGGCCCCCTTCGGAGTGGAGGGGTTGGGGGCTGCAGTTCTGTCACGACCACTGCTGCGTGGATGGAGTTTTCCCCAGAAGACTGGCATTCCCTGGACCATGGGACATTCATGTTCTTGGAGCCAAGACTGTTCCTGCATCCTTGCTTGTCACGCTGGCACTTGGATACTAGCTCATCCTCTGCTGGAGAGGGAAGAGGATGATGGCTGTGGCTTCCCACGTGAGAAATGAAAGGCATCTGCAGAAGTGCTTCCCCATGGCACTTTCCGATGAAAATCAACCCAGAAGAATGGAAGAATGAAATGCCATGAACCAGCCATAGGAGGTAGAAAACTGGGCATTCTGTTTTACACCAGGCCATGTGATAGCCCACAGCCAAAACCTCACATGCCTCCATTTTGTTCCCCTGTTCTTCCCACTTATGAAGGGGCCGTAGTAGTTTCTGTCTTTGGGGAACCTCTGTTGTGGGGAGGAAAATAGCTAGCATAAACTCTCTCTTGCTCCCGGCCAACTACATGGAGCTGTTCTACTTCTCCAGCCAAAGCCAAATATGCAATTTCCTCCCCAAAGCTGCTAGTGATGTCTTCACCTGGATTGGCTGGCAGAAGGTACAGCTCACACGAGTGTAACTTCAAAACCCAGGTCAGGGTGGGGAGGAGTGCAATGCTGGCTATGTAAAGATGTCTTTAAAAAATTCCTCTGAAGTGTGGTGGGCCAGGTTAGAGGGGGGATAAGAAGTGCCAACCTGACTGCTGGAAACTGATGTTCTCCGTCTATCCACAGGGCAAGCACAGCAGTCATCAGCAGCGCTAGTGTCCTCCTTACTTCCACAGATCAAAGGTAAGGTCGCTTCCCCCACCAGTGCAATCTCAGACCTCTCCCAGACTACCAGCAGGGTTGCTAATGAGGGGTGCACTGATTTCGTAGTTGATACCGATAGCCGATTATTAACCAGCCATATTGACCAATACTGATCCATTAACTAACTTACAGGAATGTAGCTGGGCAGTGTAGAGAGTAGTGCCCTACAGATAAGTCTGTGGAGGGGGAGAGATTGAGGCCCCCACAGTGAGGGAGGGAATGGGACAGGGTAGGTGCTGCCCAGCCAGAGTGATGTATGTGACCCTGGGGCCGTAAGCAGGATGAAGCCATAGGTGGCTCGCTCAGAGGGCGTAGGGGGAGGTTGAAAAAGGGGGCAACTCCCTGCCACTGAGTGCACCTCCGAGGGAGGTATGGTGGCCGTGTGCCCCCTGGATTTGTGCATGGGGAAGAGGTGGGCTGCCTGCTGTGGGCTTGTGGCCAGGGCCAGCCTCTTCCTGGTGGTGGGGGGCTAGGCCAGGGCTGGGTTCAGAGTGGGTGGGAGTGGGGCAGGTGGCAGTGCTGGGAGAAGTGGCCATGGGGGGCCTACGGTGAATTTTGGGGTGGCTATAGCCCCCCCCAAACCCTGCTTAGTGCCACCCCTGCTTGGGGCACTCCACTCTGCTGCCTTACCCTCAGGAGCCCTGTGTTGGTCACACGTCCCCTGCCTGCCCCACAGTGTGGGGCTCCTGGCGGAAAGGCACCAGAGTGGAGTGTGCTGAGCAGGGATGGCACTAGAGAGGGATTTGTGGGGGGGGCAATAGTCACCCCAAAATTCACTTTAGCCCCCCAGCATAGCCACCCCTCCTACCACCCCATGCAGCTGAGCCCACCCTGCTCCTTCCCACTCTGAGTGCAGGCCTGGCCCAGCCCCTCCACCAGGAAGAGGCTGGCGTTGCCCCTGGCCATGAAGCGGGCAGCCCGCCGCCATCCTATGCACAATCTGGGGGGGCATGTGCCCCCCATACCTTCCCCAGGGGTGCACACGGCACCCAGGAGCTATCCTTCCCCCTCCTCGGTGTTCCTGGATGAGCCACCTGTGGCTCCATCCCGCTCCCAGCTCTGGGGGCCCATTCACCCCCCTGGCTGGACAGGGCCTGCCCCTAGCCCTGCCCCTACTCTACTCCCTCCCTCAACACAGGGGTCTCGATCTGCCCCCTCCACACCCCTTTCCTTCCCTTCCACAGACTTACCTGTGGGACACTGCTCTCCACGCTGCCCAGCTGCACTCCTGGCGACAAGCATGCTGCAGCTGCATGCCCATGGAGTGTGGGGGCCCTGGCCAGAAGGCATACAGGCAGTCCTCAACTTACAACATTTTGAGTTACAACATTTTGCACTTACAATGTTTATAAATTGACACAGTTTCAAATGTCTAAAGTCAGTTCCAACTTTACAACACTTGATCTGACACCAAACCATGCCAGTGAACAAGTTCGCTGCGTCACCCATCTCCCTGGAGAACATCTGTCCAAACTTCCTTGGACACTTTCTTTAAGAAAGCAGCCAAGACTCCTGAGACTCCAGCCAAGAACCCTTCAAAAAATCCAACCAAGAGCCCTTCAAAACATCCAGCAAAGTCTCCTCAAAGAAATCCTTCCAAATCAATGATTGCTATTTACGATATAAATACATTAATGTAGCTATATTACTCATCTATAATTGATCAGGTACAAAATTCTAGGTTATTTTTGGTGAAAATAGGGTATCGGGCCTTGGTTCAGCAACCAATCCCCCATTTATAACATTTGTTCCTATGGGAAAATTGGTTCTGACTTAAGATGTGGTTTTCAAGAACCAATTAAGCCTGAGGACTGCCTGTATTATATTTATCGGTGAATATTATTGGCTACACCAACCAAAAAAAAGCCAATAAAGTTAATTTTCCTTTTGTCGGTGCTAATCCAATACAGACCAATATGCACCTCTATTGCTAACTAAACTGGTAGCGTGGGTTACTTAGACCCTCCCTGGATGGGAGGTGGGGTCTTCTCTGGCTTTAGCTGTCATCCTTACTGGGTTGCCTGTGGAGCTGGGCAGCTGGTAAACTTGCAGAAAAATGTGAGTTTTGGTCATTTCAGTGCTACTGTATCCCTCTGAATGTAAGACACACTTTTAAAAACAAATTTTAAATTTCTTCTAAAAACAGCCTGCATCATAAGTTCAAGTAAAAAACCAAAAAGTATAAAGTTCTTAAGGGCTCTACAGACATGTCTTAACTGACATTTTTTCCCTCAACTGAGAGAAAATGTGGATGCATCTTGAATTAACACGAAGGTTGAATTCAAATGCATCTTCTATCCGGTGCAATCTGTTTAAGTAGTTTGGATCGGAAAAAAATAGTTGGGGCTGCATTTGAGGAGCTGGAGATGCTGGGGTTGCCCATTTATTCAGTAGTTCAAGCTGTAGACCACAACAGAAGAGACCCAAAGCAATTCTTTTCTTCAGCCGGAGGGGATGTGAATCCAATGTCTCACCACCAGGCTGTGGTCTCTTCCTGGGTGAGTGCTCTCAGTCTTTGACACCTGGACTCAGGCGCCCTCCAGAAGAGCAGGAGGCTCCCACATCCTTGGCGGGAAGACTTTAAGACCACCCCTGCCACCATATTGTACAAGTCAAGCCCCTCATTTCCCTTGTGATTCTTACTAGTACCAAAAAAGGGGGCTGAACAAAACTGTTTTGTCAAGAAAAATCTGAAGCCAATTTGGTTCTGATCAAATCTTTTTTCTACGACGTGGGTTCTATGATGCAGACACTCTGTTGTTCCCCTCCATATGAAAGGAAGTCTCGCAAAAGAATTAGGTCGCTACTGTCCCTCTAACATAATGGATCTTAAACTGGTTCTGGAAAAGAAAGGAAGTCTCGCAAAAGACTTATCAGCACGACAGCGTGGTGATCTTTCCCAAACATACCTTCTGCCAAGGCTCCGACAGGATAGAGAGGGATCCAGATGGTGTATCGGATCCAGGTGAGGACCTTCCATTCCATGTCAATGGAGGAGAGCATGTAGAAGGGATACCTGGAGCAAAGGCAGTTTGAGAAAAACAGATGTCACTTATGAGGTTAGCTCCTTACTTAACATGCTGTTCCAGCATTGTGCACAGTGGCCATAAGGTGTCATCTGGCAACCCTGCTGACTATCTAAGATGTGACTGTGTGTTCAGTTCCTGCCTTAATGTTCACAAAGGGGCTGGTCCCTGTGGCTGTCGTAGCCATGCTCTTCCTCTAGCAGGCTGCCAAACCACAGCTGTTTGTCAGACAGCCCAGAGAGAATGAACTGCCTGGCTTGTTCGACAACTGTCTCAGTTAAAAACAGACGCACTAAAAACCCAGAGCAGAGATTGGGCAGAACAAAAGTGCCAAAACCCATAAAATCCGTCAGTGGCTGCTGCTACACACATGTCCTGGGGCAAGCCGCAAGCTAGCACAGGATGGGGGTGCCCCAGTGCTGCCCAGTGATGCCAAGAGACCCACTGCAGGCTGGGCAAAATCACTCTGTGGGCCATATTTTGCCCCCACCCCCTTCTATAACCAAAGAGCATTTGCCATGGAAAATTATGAGTCCTATGATTGTCCTTGGAGATGTGCAGGCATGCAGCTCTATCCTATCCCTATCACTAGAACCAATTCAGACTCTGGCAGAAACAAGGCACTAACCAGAGTATTATGCTGTGACTAGCCTGAGTCCAAACAAACATGGCTCTCCAGAGCCACAATGGCGATACTGATGCCAAAGGGCATCTTTCACAGGCAAAACTCAAAACCATTTTAAAGTAAAGGCTCCTTTAAAAATGAGATTCATGCACAAGTGCTAGGGCAAAACAAACCTGAATATTTCTATCATACTCCAGGCATAGAATATGAAGAACACCACTGCTCTGCTTTGCATTTCTTCCACGCTGCCAAGGATGATGAACAAAATCAAATTCCTTCCAAATACCTGTTAGAAGAAACATTCATGCCTATAAGTATAACAAGAGATACAAACAGAGCACAGTCAGGGGGCAAGCTAGCCCTTCCCCTTAAAAGCTCTCAGCCGCAGCACCATGTGTGCCTTTAGCATGTGATACTAAGGGCAGGGGTAGGCCTGGGTGATACTGTAAGGCCAGGATCTATCACTGCAGCTAAGCTGTTTCCTAACCCTATAGCTTTTCTGCACTGGTTGTGTTTGGATCCTAGCCAGAAGCAGGGAAAGAAGCCATGTTTCAGAAACCTGGCCATACCTTACGTATAGCAGCAACTGACCCTGGCACAGAAACCTTTCTCCGCCAGCTTCTCTATGTCTTTTTGTCCCAGGGGGTCTGGCCTAGGCAGGCAAACCAAGAAGAGGGCTTACTGCCCAGGCTGGGGAGCATGGTTTCCTTCTAATTAGGTCAAGTGGATCCCAAGGGTGACACCAATGCTGTTGCATTAACTTATTTTAGCACTAAGGCCTAAATACTACTATATAAAACATAGAACTACAGTGACCAAGATGGCATGGGGGAAAAAGAGGCATCTTACCACATTACCTGTATTAGAGAAGGTATCAGTGGTGATCTGACGAGTCCTATTAATGAATTCACACTCTCCATAAGTGCGAGTGTCTGGCAGAAATACATCATGTCAGAAATGGTGTGGAAAGTATCATAGAAGGAATCTGTAAGTAACAAGAGAGCATTTAAAGGCTTTTGAATGCCTGCCATGGCAAAACCTACTCAACAATACATCCCTTGACTGCAATCAATTTGTGCATACATTTCAGAATCAGGTTTGGGTTTGAAAAGTTGGCTTGCCCACCTTGTATAGATGGCTTTTGGGCAGGCTATCAAAGACACACTTAGTGCCTTACCTTGCTCAAGCAAAGGGTCTTATGCTAGAAGAAATGCAATACACTGAATTATTTCAGTACTTAAGGTACACAAAAGAAACAGTAGCACTGTACATCAACACAGTACACAGCTGTATATTTAAGAACAGCAGTGGCTTGGCTGTTCTGCTTTCACTAATACCAAATGTCAGCGAAGTCGACATCTCAAATAGGGCATTTTCCCCACAGTGCAATTTTTCAATAGAGAGCTTAGTATTTGAGAACAAAGCAAACATTGCCCCTAAATCATGGGTCTGCAGTTGCCATTTACAGATCCACAGTAATTCCTCTCCTCAACACTATGGCAACTTTGGGAAGTGTCCTGTTGTGTGTTTCAGTGAGGTGCTGACAGTTTCCTGAATGCAGCTTTGCTAAGATTTCATTATTTGGAAGTTTTTGTAAAGGTCAAAGAAATAGCACAGCTATAGAGTGCCTACTACTTGCCTTTTCCCAAGATAAACAGTCGAACCGTCATGTTCACAAAAATCCAGGAGAAGCCCAGAAACTGGACAAGATTATACATGAACAAGTATCCTCTCTTCAGGTGTCTGAAAGCTGTAATCAAGTGTTAAACATCAGGTTAGCAAAACGCAGTGCCATTCCCATTTCCTGCAGTGGGTAGAGGATGAGATGGGGATGGCAAGGGGTCACCGATTAAGCATTTCAAACCTGGAGGTAGGGATCGATCTCTTCCTTATTAATAGTATGATCTGCCTAGTGGAGTCAGAGGAAAACCTGGACTAGAACAATGGGAGTGCTGGCTTTCCTGTCACCTGCTTTCAGGAATATATCAAAAGCCAGTCCCCTATCAAACAGCAATGCAGTGACACTGCGATTGGAAGTGATTTATATGAAGTCTAGGGCACTAATTTTCCAGAAAGACATATCAAGCTTCTTTCAACAGTGCTGGAAGGAGATGTGTGTTACAAAGCACTATTTTGCCTGTGGTGTGTATTAACAGACAACTATCACTATCTTTTAAATCCAATTAGCCTTATGCACTTAAAGGCGCAGTCACTTACGGTCTTTCGGGACTCTGGATTCTATTCTCATTTTGTTGATTCTTTCTTCCTCCTAAAGATGATGGAGAAAGTTATAATAAGTGTTAGTGTAATAAGCCACTGACCTGTTAATTAACTATCCTGTGGCAGAGCTAGTGGGGTTTACAACTCAGTTGCATATCCATTTCATACAAGCATTTAATTTTTCGTGCAGACAAGGGGGGGCATATTCTTTTGCATCAGGAGAGTTACCGCAAGAGCAAATGCTTGTTTAACCAGCAAAGTTACTTTCACTGTATGAGAGAGAATCTCTAACATGCAGATGCTTTTGCTTTTCCTTGTTTTTTAGAAAAAGCTGCTTTCTAGGACAACTGTAGGTTGTTATTATTGCTTGAAGCTATTTCTTTTTCATGTTAAAAAGTCATCCTCTGTTTCTCCTCTAGTCATTAATGGCAGATCTAACAGGTGTTAAATCCTGAGAAGTAACAAGGGAGTTTGTGTAGTGCCTAACCCCGTGAGACTCTCAACCAGCCTAAGACTTTGAGGCATAAGTAGTTACAAGTGAGGCTTGATTTAAACCCAAACCAGCTCATTTGTGACTTCCCCTTCAAAAACCGGGCAAGATTATACATAAACTGCTTGTGACAATTCTGCTTGCATCTTGCGAGCAGCACGCTCACTGAACTCCAAGCAAATGGAAATGTTTAAACTCAGCAGCCAGACAGAGCCTCTTCAAAACAGAATGGCTGTTTTTATCTCTCAGCCCACCACACCTCAGCTGCTGGTGTAACCTGCGTGTGCAGGCCATACCCACCTTTTCTTTGAGCTCCATTTCAGCATCCGACTCATCCAGCCAGCGATCGAAATCCGGGGCCAGAAAGAGTGGGCGTTTCTCTTGCTTGGTGAGTCTCTCCCACCAGTTGCTTTCTTTTTTCTTCACAGTGATGTTCAGCTGCCGCTGCGTCACTTTGTACGCTGGCTGGAACAGAAAGGGCGAGGGCAGCCACATGAACACGTCAGTAGGGCCCCTTAGAGAGCAGGCTGGATTGAGCTGGGGGCAGGTTGGTGGTTCTGGAAGGTGACATCCTGGATCAGCCACACATACCAGCAGTGCAGGGTTATCCCAGCTGCCCCAGCCATGACCTCCATTCTGAAATTCCCCTAAGCCCCATCTGCATTTCAGGTGCTTAACCCCCTAGTTTTCTGCATCCTCCTCTAGCAATGAGGTATCCTGTTCTTTCTGGACTTCTTGTAACTATCCAGGCTTTTTCCCACTGAGTTTCTCAGCACACAGCACTGAAATGACTCAGGGGCTAAGGAAACCAGCTCTTTGATAATGAGGGACCGTGCACCTGGGAGCATGCAGTAGGGAATTCAGGTTAAAAACCAGGTGGAAGTAATGCAGCAGCACCCATAACCTCAGATTTTTTCATTAAAAAGGTGGGGGAAAAGGAAGCTTTCTTTGGGAATTGCGTTGCTGGTGGCTTTGGAATGCTCTGGGCTGAGACCAAGGCGTGGTTTTGAATTTAATTTCTTTGAGATCTCACATTCACTTCTGACCCAACAAGCTGAGGCATCATCAGGTGCTTCCAGACTTGTTTAGCAATAACTATACACACCACAGAACAGCGAAGGAGATGGAAGGATTCTCCTTGCTTGGTAGAGGCAGGAGCTCTGGGGGTCTCCTTTGATGCACTGGGTGCAATGGCCAAATTATTTGCAAGGTGACAAGCAGCTGTCTCAGTCCCCCCAACATTGTGTCCTGCATGCCTCCCAGATTTCATCCTGCTACAGAAGCTGGACCAGTGACAGGAAGGCAGCTAGAAACTGCTTGTGGAAAACCTATTCTCTGGCAGGTGTAGGAAGCCCCATGAAGAATTCTGTGCCGGGACTGGACAGTTAGACTGCCTGGCCGGTTGTGCTGCCTATAATTTATCCGTATGATCTTGCAAAGAGGCATTCCCACCCTCCATTCATTTTAACAGGCTGCAACAAGACAAGGGAACTAGCCTTCCTACTCCTGGGTGTGGCAAGGAGACCATGCGAGCTCCCCTGCTAGAGAACCACTTCCTGCAGAGGCTGACAGTCATCCGGCTGCAATAATACTGTTAGCTCCAGCAGGTGCCTTCCAAGCCACTGAGTGCTAAGGGGCATTTGCTTGCCAGCAGATCACAAGTTTACAGGGGATCACCTCTGGATGGTGCTGTCACTCCGCTGGGCAGTCTCCAGGGGCATTCATTCACCCTCTCAGAGGGTATCCTCACCCGGGGTCCCATCCTTCATAGAGGGCTTAGTCAGGCATGATCCTTTCCTGAGCAGGTGGCTAGAATATATGACCCCCTGTGGGCCGTCTTGCTCCTCCCTCCAGCCTGGCCAATACCACCCACTATCTTCTTCAGCTTGTCACGCAGTGCAGCGAGACAGGCTGGAAAGCTGTTGGAAGCACCCAGAAACGATGATGAAAGCAACGCCTGCCTCGGAAGATCAACATTGTTATCTGGGTTTGCAATCCTGAGGTGTGGCGAGTCTGTGCAGCAACTAGGGAATCAGGCAGCCTTGCTCCATCCCTGTGGTTAAGCCAGGGCTTTGCCCATTTCCTTGGGATGCCAACCCTTGTTGCCATGCCACCAAGCCTTTGCCACCTCAATACTCAACCACCATGCACCACGATCCACACCAAGCCCTCAATGACTTCACATGATTGGAAGGGGTCAGTTCTGACGCACACAACCACAAGCACCCTGGGCCCTGCCCGTCTGCCTGAGACGTCACCTCTCCCTGTGGGCTTTATGGCCATGGTGAGATCACAGAGATACTGGAACCCTCTTAGGCACTTTTTTAAAGCTATCTACATCCGTATCCAAGATACAATCAAAAGCAACAAGCGCCTGTTAAAGAAAAGACAGAATTATCTGGGCACCCAGCACGACTACACGCGCTCTAGTCACGGACTCTCCAATTTCCACTGTTTGCAAACTGAAGTCTCCCTGTAGTGGCAGGATTTTTCTTTCATCCTCACCTCAATCCATGTCACTCCCTGCCAGCAGGTTTTTTGTGTCTCTAACAGCAAATGAAGGAATTCAGGGGATTCCCATTTTGTCTTTAGTGCTGGGGACCAGAAAGGGAGGAGGGCAACGGCTGCAGAGGCAGCATCCTCAGTGACCCAAGGAGGAAGGCCTAGCACCCGAGCAGGTACCTGGATGTGGGACTCTGTATGTGTGGAGTGTCACTGGACAGAGCTCATGGAAGGAGACCCAAGGAGCAGAGATGCAGCTGAAGGGTGTTGTTCAGAGGGGGATCTGAAGACATATTTCTCAGCGAATCAGTGCAGAGAGGCCCTCTCCAAGTAGACTGCAGCATGAGTCACAGACTGCCCAACGCGTGTGAGTGAACTCGTGTTCCTTTCCCAGCACTTCTGCATCCATAGTTTGCAAACCCAGTTCAGCTATTTAGTCCTAGTGAGATCTGTTGAATTTTGCTTTACAAAGGGGATGGTCTCCTTCCCTTCCTCTTTACCCAACCAGAAGAGAGATCTCCCAGGTGACAAATCCCTGGCTCCCAGTCTTGCCAAAGCTATTCCCAAGGGCTGCAGGATGTTACAGTTCTCCTATGCCTCCCCTCACCCATTGGCAGAGCAGATGATTGCCCTACAGTGCTCCTATTGATGAAAAGGGGAATGATAGAAGAGGTTGTTTTTCCCAATCAGGCCCTTTGCCATTGCACTGAGATGGAAAGTGAGACAAGGTTTGCCTGTAGCAGAGAGGCAGCACATCGCAGCAAGGCAGATGGCATTTTCCCCAATCAGGGCTGCTTCACACACAAAATCCCTAGATTTGCTGCTATTTTACTAATCCACCTAAATTACCATTTAAGTCTATCTACTCTTCATTTCTGTGGCAAATTTAAAGCCCAGTCCTGTACACTATTACCTAGGAGAGCGACTGGCTGCAGTGAGCTTATTTGCATGACCAAGTGCAAGGAAAGCAGGCTCAGAGAAGGGATGGTGAACCTGTGCAGCATCTACAACTATGACCGTTAGCAGACTTGCCTGTTATCGCATCAGGAAACAAAGCAGCCACCTCAGGCAGCATCCCTGAGGTTTACAAACAAGTCATTTCTCATTTGCATTTTGTTAAACTACATAATGGCAAGACTTCTCCTTTGAAAAGGACATCAGGAAGAAAGAAAATATACGTACTTTGGGCTCGACAGGTTCCAGAAACTCCAGCTGAAATTCATAAATGTGGTCCCCCTTGGCACCATGCCCCTCAGCTAGAACAGAAGAAGCAACAATCAGTGTAAAGACCATGGGACACCCCCCCCAACCACACACAGTGTTGGTGAAACACATCATTGTTAATCACCAAGTAACATAAAGAGCTTCTCCTGCCCCTCCGGGCTGCAGGATCAAAGTACAACATAATGGAAATGCAAAACCAGAACAAATGCAAATGAAATGCTAAACAGCTGAAACAAAGAGGAGTTCAAAACAGGTGGTGGGCGTCTCAAACAGGAATCAAGAGCGGCTATAGCCCAGCATCACCCCAGGAAGGGCTTTCTGCATGAGGTAGGAAGCCATTTGTGCAAGCTCCGCCTGACAGGAGACACCACAACAAAGGGTCTGTGTCCTATCCCACAGGTAGCAGTGCAATCCATGCAAGCCCACTGGTGACACACTGCAAATCCACCATGATCCACTTGGTCCCTGCACAGGACAGGCTCAACTTGAAAATCTGCTCTTTTCTAGGGAGCTGCCGCAAAAGGATCCCGTTCGCCTAAAGCTGTTTGCAACTTGAGATGACACCTGACTCTCTTCTGCATGCACTCCAGAGCTAAAAGAGACCTTTACATCCCTGCAGCATGAAACAGACCTCGAGGCTTCAAATGAGATCAACTTCAGAGAGAAAAGGCAGCCCTGGGATGTTCCTACTGCAGGTCTGACACCCCACGGCCAAGTTAGCGCTGCACGGGGGAGCTGCTTGGTCCACACAGGAAGGGCTCCACTTCCCTTTTCCACTGACCGTTAGTTCCTGCTAGCCGCTGCGCACGGGGTCTCTATGCCAGACAGATTGCTCTGGGTTACTTCCAGCTCCCAGGCTAGGGAGGTGCCTGGCAGAGAGACACGGACATCCTGCTGACATTTACATGTGGCGAGTGGGTTTGAACAGGTGAAACGTGGTAGTCTCTCGAGGGATGCTTGTATCAATGGATGCAGCTCATCCTAGGACCACCACAGCCGCTCCGCCAGGGCTCTGCTACATCTCACCTGCTCCACGTGAGCAGAGGAGTCTGGGACTGGGGCCTACCTCATCTAGATCACAAAAAGCAATTAGAAATTGTGGCAATAACTCCCTCTGACAACTTATTCCCTGTCCCAACAGACGGCAAGCCGGCACCCGGCTTGGGGCACCCAGCCCCGCGGAGAGATGCCCAAACGCTACAAACTCGAAAAGCAGCCGCTGTCACCTACCTTTGAAATGCAGCACATTGTCAGTGATGGTGATGTCAGGGGTCTGCGGAAAAAGAAACCGTTTTAGGTACGTGCTTGTTTTAAACCTTGGCTAAAGGATCCCAGCTGCAGCTGGCCAGGAGTGCACCAAGCGATGGCTTTCAATTCCAGCAAAGCAGATTTGGGTTAGAGGTCAGGCGACGCTTCCTTACTGTTACAAACTGCTTCGCTGGAGCTTTGCAAGTGGAGGCTGGATAAGAATTGGGCGGGGAGGATTTAGGAATAGTCTCCCCATGTTTGTGCACGGGGTTGGACAAGGTAACCCCCGAGGCTTGTCATACTAGTCCCTGGTCCAGTCCAGCTCATGCCCTTTCTCCAGCCACCTCTTCCGCCAACTCCCCTGTCCACTGTCATTTCTCTCTCCCCTTTTTAGTTTTGTTTTCGCTCTGTCCTGCAAACCTTCCCGAACGGTTCCCACCGCCTCCCAGCCCTCCGCTCTGTCCGCACCTGCTCGGGAAGGGCACGACTCGCGCGCCCCGGGCTCAGGTGCCAGGGCCAGGCGTGCCACGACGTCCTGGGGGACACGCGCCAGGCGCGAGCCCGGCGTTGCACCCCGCTCGGGGGCCAGGAGGGGCCTCAAGGGCCCAGCCAGCTCTGCAGCGGGGACAAGCCAGAGCCCAAGTGAAGGGGGGCAAGGAAACAAAGAGCAAAGGCTGGGGGTGAGGGGGTTAGTTTCTCCCCCCTCCCCCGACAGCTGCGGGCACGGGCACGGGCAGGGCTGTGCGGGGCCCGGCCGCTACCTGCACGTCGCTGAGCTCCACGCGCAGGTAGAGCTCGTGGTGCCGCTGCGCCCAGTGCACGTGCGGCGTCAGGCTGGCAGCGGCGCTCTGCATCATGGCGGCGGCGGCGGCGGCGGCGGCGGC